ATTTTTGTAAAACTACTTAAAAATCCAAAATTATTGTGATTGTGTGGGGATGTTGTATATTTCCAGGCATATGATTGAAAGAGAAATGGTTACTGTGAACGATGACGGCCTATAAAAATAACACAATAACCAAATATTCATTTTTTTCCTGGTCCTCGCCGCCCATAAAGTAAATGTGTAAAAATGGATGTGGTTTGTTTGGCATCGGTTAGGTTGCCCTCAATCCCACTTTGAGTTAAACGTGGCCTTTGATTTTGACTATTGCATTAAATTGTTTATAATTTGCTTAAATGGCTCTTAAATGACACCTTAACCCATTCGGCCATCACTGTTGTTGGAATTTGTGAGCGTAATAAGATTGTCATAAGCCCATGTAGTAAGCCCACGTTAAAATTTTAATTATAATAATATTATTTTTTATTTTTTATTTTTATGTCAGCAATATTAGTCATTGATGGATCATTTTTAATTTGTTTTTTTACTATGACAACAAAAAATGTAAACAATATTGGCATTTACTTTTTCTAATAATGATTAGATTAATTAAACATTCATGTTATAAGAAATTCAGGTATTATATAAATGATTGCTAATTAGTAAAATAAAATAAAATTGTACACACGCAGTTTTTCTGGTAAAGCCAACAACGGAAAATTTAAAATGAATAATCATAAATAATAATCAAATAATAATATTTCATATAGATAAAACTTAAATATTATCTCTACTATCTACCATTGAGTTTTATGTAAAGAGAGGGTATTTACGTCTATAAATAAAATCGAACGGAGTAAAAACGATACGAAAATTATCACTTTATAAAATTTAAACTTTACTTTATATAGCGAAACATAATATTAATACCTAATATTCATTACACGACATATTTCTCCATGTTGATCAATTTTTTTGGTGTTGGAAAAGGGCCCCATTTTAACGATTAATTATGTCATATGGACAATTTTATAAACTAAGGCTTGCTGTAGCTTTTTCAATTCGAAAAAACATTCCGGAACTCAAAAAATAAATCATCAAAAAAATTGTTCCCAACATTTTTTTTCGTAAAAATCTTCTCCTGACAATTATGAACAATTAAAAAAAAATTGGAGCCAAATCGGCCAAGCCGTTCTCAATTGATGAATTGTTATACATTTTTGGCTCCATTTAAGTATAGATTATTATATGCAACTGGTGTATGAGTCTTGACGACTTCGACTCATAAAAATCAAATTCTATGAAACTTTTAACCGTTTCCACAATGAAAGTAGGTAAAATGGTTTTATTGTAGTGGTTAACCATGAATTATGGAAACCCGGTATTCTTAAATGAAATGAGCATCCAGTGAATTCCAGTTTCGAAATAATATGTGGTTATTTCAATAGCTTTACTTGAACGAAAAATGCCCTGTCTTATGGTTTTGTTCTGTTGTAGGTACCCGTGTATGTATATAAACGTGTGACTATTGGAGGCTATCCCGACATACTTTTCTTAACAGTAGCGCTGTAATTATCTTTTGAAATCATAATGGCGATGTAATTACTTTTAATGATAATAGGCAGACTGAAAACTACTATGGTGTTGCAACCAAAGCACAAAATCATTTAATTTCACGTAGAATAACCATATGTAATATAATAATAGTATAAACGTCTCAACATCTTTATTTATTTTTATTGAACAAAACGTTTCTGTATCAATATAAATTGGAATAATGTAAAAACCCAGTACTCTAAATAGGTAGTAACCTACAAAACAATTCATTGCATTATTTTTTTAAAAAATTAATGCGTTTATGAGATTTATTATTTCTGATACAAACATTTCAGTATCTCACAACATAAGTAGACTTGTATTATAAAAAAAATGGGTGTACTCTAAAATAGTATTATAAATTAATGTGCATATTATATTATAAGCGTGTATTGTTGTGTCAATAATTTATTTGATTATTTTTAATGAACTAAAATCAAGTAAGCCTAAACGAATAAAAATAAAATTATAATTATTGTACTTCTCATATTTTTATTTAAAATTAATGTTGATGTTTATTTTCCAATAAAAGTTACCGAGGTACGTAACTATTGAAATATACGCGTACACGCATCAATATTGCATACCCAGAGTGCCGTGTCAACTATTTGTAATGATTGAGTCATAACTTATAATATTTTTCATGATTACCACGTTGAATTACTTTTATATAAAGTGTATTGCAGTTAAAAATATACGTTCCTTTTGTTTGATACATTGAAATAATAGTATGTTAAACAATAAATTTGAATTTAAAAAAAATGTGGTACGAGAACATCGAACCTCGAATTAACGTTGAATAAGTAAACTATTTGTCATTTTCTTCAACTGTAGTACGTACGTACCAATGGATACTAAATATTTAAAAAATATCTAAAATAATTTAGTTTATTAAGCAATAACCATAAGTATCGGTACTTGTATGACCTATTTAAAACGATATGATTACAGTTCTTAAGACTAAATAGAGACTTACATCAATGGTAGTTATGGCAACCATAAAAATATATTGTATAAAATATTCGGTGGTCCAACTAACCCTATGTTATCAAAAAAACTGTTTCTTAACTGATCGTTTTTAGTCCATTACGTTTGTAAGTCTTCAGCCTCGAGCAGTTTGTACTTTAAACTTAAAAAATATATTTCGTCAATATATTATAACTATAGACAATTCAAAATGATACTGGTGTGGACTCGAATAATCTGATTATACGTAATAATTATATTTATTATAATAGCTGCTTTGTTACAAAAATTAACCTGGTCATATTAGATATTTTAAAATTATTTACAGTTTAAAACAAAAACTTTGCTATTTTTTTTTATATACATTTCCAGTGATATTTTTCAGAGTAATTTTTATGTGTAGCTGAATCATTTTATTTATTATTTTAATAGTAGAAGATTGCAGTCTCATCTGTATACTATTTACATAGTGTCCAAAAATAATTACTGAAACACAGTATACTTCAAACAAACAAAGAATTATGTTACGGCTTTAACAAAAATTTTAAGTTTATTCGTACCACCCAAATTAACTGCGTGATACATATTTTGCGTTGATATCACATATTATATTATTATGTAATTTATTCGGAATGATTTGAAACACGAAACGTCCTAACGAGTACTCAGGGAAAGGTAAACATTAATTTATGCGAGTCACAATAATGGTAATAGCGACTCGCTTTGACGAAAACCGGGTAATAATACCGATTCGCATTAGTTGTCAGGAAATACCTGGGTAATCATCGCTATGTGGCAGTTATCATTGTCCACTTGACCACCAATCATAATAATAATGCGAGTATATTATATTATTACTGTATTGATCCATTACAGTTTCGTCCATTTATTGTTTCTGCTTAGTACGCGATTTACAACCTGGTGGTGGTGGCGGTGGATTGTATACAATACATGTATGCATGAATGGCGATATTATTATAAAATAACTAAACAATATTATGTTGTCGGTGGACATTTTTTTCTTTTTAATTCGTTAATAGTTAATAAGTCATTAATTCGGTTCACGGTAATAATATAAAGTAATTTATTATTTTAGTGTACACGTTGTACATAAGGTTGAAATATTAAAATAATATTTTAATTGTACGACTGTTATATAAACTATATGTAACATATATAATTATAGGATATAATTATGTGACATTATCGATGTTCGATATGGTTTGTTAGCCATGACTTAATTGTGTACATGATGGTAAAGTAATGTATTCAACTATATATTATGATATGTGACTATTATTTTATAGCTCGACAGGTCATTAGTAGACAAGTGTCTACGAGCTAATGGTCAAAAATCATTTTTAAATAGGTGTTCAATATTTGTATATTCAATTTTATATTCCATAAGTGCAATGATAGGTATTTCATTTTATTTTGTTTGTGAATTCCTATTTTAGTTTAAAATAATATAATTCTACCGTATTATCATCCACGCCTGTTCAAAGTCTTTTATATTTTTAATTTTGATAATTTAAGTCACTTATACACTTCATCTGGACTTTGGAGCCAATGTTTATGTTATTTCGAAACGGATCTATAATATTAATATTGCTTGTTCAACTTTATAAGTGTTCTCCACATGAAAGTTTTCATTTAAACTTTATTAATAATAACCAATAGATACATCTTTCTGTTTGCTTAGAATATAAAACTAAGAATAATACAGATGATTCCCGAATAAACTATTGTCTTATTCATAATATTATGAGTTTGATACGATATCCGATGACTTATTAATTACCAACTTATTTTTTCGTTAAATAAGTTCATAAAGTTAAATTCTTCAATATTATTGTATAGGTATCATTATATTGTATTGTACATTTTACGAAAAAAAAGTTTTAGATTAGACCGATATAAATCGAAATAAAGTTGATTGCAATCGTTTTCAGCCTATTCAATTATTGTATTTTATTTCAAAACTTAAAAAGAAAGCTAACAATTTTATTTCAAATCATATTTATGTACTGTATTATTGCCAGTTTAATTAAAAACTATTGACTCTTTGAGTCACACATTATGTTTTTCATCAAAAAAGTAAAAGCAAAAATTACATGTAAGTATCCCTACATAATTTATGATTTGTTATCAAATGATGACTAATTGATCTAGAACGATCAAACAAAAAACAAAATGCACAGTGTTACCAACATATGTTCAACTGGCTGTGGTATAATACACATTATGCATCGTATTAATAAAAATATTTATATCGTAATTTACTCTCAATTAGAAAATATACGTCATCACCGGGTAAATGATGATGATGATGATGGTGATGATTTTTTTTCATCATCTCGCACACGCAAGTCGTGTATACTACGGTACTGCACGTCATATGGGTTTATGTTTAGGTATACTATATACTATAGGTGTATAATTATATAGTCCAGCTGACGACGGTTATGTTGCAATTTGTGTGTATTCTTGTGTATTATCCGCAGCGCCGATGGCAATTTCGACGTGACGCTGGCCACCAAGGCGACCATATACCACGTAGGGCTGGTAGAATGGAAACCGCCGGCCATATTCAAATCGTCGTGCGAGATCGACGTGGAATTTTTCCCGTTCGACGAGCAGACGTGCGTGTTGAAATTCGGTAGCTGGACGTACGACGGATTCAAGGTACCCCCCATCCCCTACTCCCCCCCCGCCCATCAAACACACACGACCATGTGGCCATAAGAATACAGTGGCAGTTGGTTCGTTTCAATTTTACAACGTGCAACCAGACAAAAAAAAAAATTAAATAATGATACCTTAAGTCATATTTTTCTGCTCTGATTACGCCATACTATTAAATAAAAATATGCATCGTCAACACTGCGATGACTAATATCTGTCTACGACGCGACGGATCGATTTAGTTGTTCCGTTATTAAATTCACTCTCTTTTTTTTTTGTCTCCCACACACGAAAAAGAAATATAACTTAAATAACATTATGTTCACTGTACCTTTATGGTTGCTGTTGATGTTGTAATTGAATGTTGTTTTTGATGTTGTTGTTGTTGCTGTTGTTGCACTCGTACACACGAACAAACCGACTTGCAACCAAAACACTTTACTATTATTATTATTATTATTTTTTTTTTTTGTTCATGCATAATAAATTTACTGTTGTAATAATAAAACATGACCTTCGAGGACTCAAAGTCCTGACTCCTGATCTATCAGCGCTGTATATATTAAAAACGCTTAAAAAAACTATATATTATATAAGCTATATACCTACTATACACGTATTTCTATTATTATGTTATCTATTCCTTAGTATTGTTCGTTATACCTACAATAATTTACTATTATATTTCTTCTTCATAAAAATAACTTTCTTGTACACTGTATCATGTATAATATCTACTTTACTTGAAAACATTACGCCTATCGAATGTTTGATAATAAGTAATAAGTAATAACACGTGGCACCGAAATACGTGCTTGTAGGCACACGTCCATAGCACTAAATATAATAGCTTGAATATTTTTAATTAAAAAACATTATTATTATTATTTTTGTACAATATGATTTCCTCGTAATATTTAGTGTATATTATGTCGATCGAATAAGTGTGCGCTTCCCGGCTGCGCGCGAATATAAAATAAATATAATATGTAAATATGTGTGTATAAAATATATTAATGTTACTGTCCGTGCAAAATGCTCGAGAATACCAGCCAGTTAGTATAATTGTGCTTTATGATTATCTCTCCGAAAATTGGCATTCCTCTCGAAATAAAAATACACGATTGTAATTAAACGGGAAAAATAAAATCTTTACGGAATCGTCCTAATCCTGTTTAAAGCCTAAACATTTGTATCGAGCCAATACGCTTTGCATATTCAACGATTATTTTATTTATTCTCAGATCCAATTCTTAAATGATTAAATAGTGTAATAAAATAATACGATTTAAACTTCGCTACCGCCTATTCCCTCTTTATATATTTATAAATTCAAAAAAAAGTGATTCTGGTTATACAACCGTTACATTTTGATTATAAATTAAAATATTCTCAATCAATATGTTAATAAAGTAACTGTACATAATTGGTCTTTATTCAATGTTTACAATTAGAATTAAAATACACAATAATTCACAACTGAATATTAAAAATATATAAATAATAGATTATTGCATAAAAAAAAAGGTTTTTCGTCTTCTTGCACATTTTTCTAATCAGAGTAATATTTGTTAGAAAAGGATAAAACAAATTCAAAAAGACGAATAAATCAATACCGTTATAACAACATTAAACAAATAAAGTTTGGTGTTCATTAAATAATTTCTATTAAACAACTGTTTTTATAAAGTATGTTATTTCGTTTACATAATATTACATATTTTACTTTCCAATAAGATTTGGTATGCAAATAATCAGGATGCTTAAAAAAACATAGGTAGCTTAGTTTAAGTTTAAATTATCTATCTTATGACGATTTATATATATTTTTTTTTAAATGAAAATAAGTTTCTCAAAAGTCTATATTAGATTGTCTATAAAGGTGGTTTTTCGCATACTTTGTCGTGAAAACTATACAACCATTATGATTTACTCCTAATGTTATAATGGAGATAAAAAATAAAAACGATAATTTATGGCTCACTAACCGACGAAAACATAACATCGTTAACAATACATGTAGGTCACGGTGAGCTACGACCGCGTCGTCACCGATGCCTTTGTGGAGGGACCACTAAAGTTAAACGTAAATAAAAAAAAAATATGCAATAATTATTAGTATCGTTATAAACCATGTCAATTAGTGTACAACACATAATATTATTACGATGTGTTATTATTGTTATTGCAATTATCATTATTCTCGAGCATTTCGCCCGGCACGTGCGCAGCGCACAAGGACCGCGTACAATTATTGTATTGTCAGTAGCCTAGTAGACGTGGTATGTTGTGTTGTTCCAGTGCGGACGGTAACTACGAGGTGACCCTTATGACAAAGGCCACCGTTTACTGTACGGGGCTTGTATTATGGCAGCCACCCGCCGTCTATAAGTCCTCGTGCTCCATCGACGTCGAGTTCTTCCCCTATGACGTCCAAACTTGCGTACTGAAACTAGGAAGTTGGACGTATGACGGGTTCAAGGTGACAATGATAGTGTACCGCTTGGCCGGCAAAAAAAAATTTCTTCCTGGTTCATCGATTTAATAACATCATATTATTATTATAACGTTTTAATAATATATATTATATTATATTATATTATTATGCCGTTTGTGGCGGCGGCTCTGCAGTAACACGATAATATCGTAATACAGAAATTATTATTTTTCGTGTGCATTGCCGTGATACGCGTCTTACAAGGTCATCGTCGCCGTAGTCGTGTCGCTCATCGCAATCGTAATGAACTATATAACAGCATTTTAATATTAATATTATCACCCCGGCCGGCCGTCCACATTAACGTATGATAATTGGTGGAATAGTACCCAACTCTATTTTATTTATTTTTTTTTTTGTTTTGATTACCACTCGCTGGTGGACGATTCTAATGTTAATTATTCAAAGTGACGAGAAATCCGTCGACCGACATTTTTGTTTCCGTCCCGCGCGGGACCATAATATAATAAATAAATTGCTACGTCTATGTGGAAAAATCCAATTATAATTGTTTGACCTTGGGGAAGTGATTGCGTTTGACTGGTAGAGAGTTTGCTTCACGCACCGTAATGGTATATTCGGTAGTTAAAGGTACTTAGTAACAAAAATTATATAGTTGTGTGCACGTATATATTACATAATATTACATTGTAGCGTAATATTATATATTATTATGTTTCCTTAGAAATTTTAGACAAACTTACGGCAATATTAATTGTACTCGATGAACCAGGTACACGCGGGGCTTGTGTGATAATCATTTTGGGTGGGTTCGTTTTGTTTCGCTGTTGTGATATGTCTTGATGATTGTGTGACACCATAGGAAAAAGTTATACGATCCATTATTTTATACTACGCCCATTATAATAAGAATAACAGTAATAATAATAATATAAAAACCCATACTTATAACGGTCATGTTACTGACAATATATTTTCTTCGGCAATACCGATTAAACTTAACGGATGGGTATATCGAGTATAATACATAATATTATAAACAACACTGAGGGTAACTCGTGGACCCCGCGGGCTTATTTTTAATATTCATCCGTAGGCTGACAGCTATAATATTATTCTATGATAATGTAATGTATACGACCCTATACACACACACAAAGTTTATTTAAAAAAAAAAATATTTTATTTCATTTTAAACCCTGGCTTTTGATAATGCGTGTATCCCGTTAACCCGATAAAATAAATTTAACTCGATCGTTAAGAATAAATTACGTCTATATACGTTCCCGACCTATTTTGAACTTGTTCTCACACGTTTATAAAAAAAATCCAGAACGACTTTAACACATTTATGACCGTTATATTGTAAATTGTGTCAGATAAAAAGTAAATTTTTTTTTTATTTATTTAAAAGAACCTCCAAAGTCCATAAAAGTCGAACGACTGTTTAATAGAATTGTCCACGGCATAGAGAGAAAAAAAATCGAATGTAGCTGATGTCCAAAAAACTTCGTCTTGAAAAGTGAACTTCCACCAAATTTGCCTTAAGCGCTCGAAAACGTGTCAACGAACAAAGGCGCACGTACGCACTATATTGTGCCTCTTCTCTCATCCGTCCAAAACGACATAATATTGTTATTGGTTTTGGCAAAGTCCCGTACTTAGTTTTACCACATATGTGTGGCTCCGGCAGTGAGCAATAATATTATAAAGGATTCGCTGAAAAAAACACGACAACGACGACCAAGTGGACAAATAACGGATTAAAAGGGCCGGATGTGATATTAAATGATATTAGCCGAGAGCTTACAGGGTGGTCGTTAAATTGAGAATCAAGCATTCTCATAGGAACCGTGATGTATACTCAAAAATTATGGAAGAATGTATGTCAAATCATTGTACCTATCTGATAAAAAAATTATGTTGGTAAGCGTTTGAATAATTCATATGATAATAATAATTTGAAAATTCAGATTCGCGCCTGAGACGTATCTCGTCTGGTTTATGGAAAAAAGTCGCCCAGTATCATCTGATGGGGAATAGGCGCCGTTCTGAATTATATGTGATTCGCTCGCTGAAGCGCGCAGCACTTTAGGGCGACCGGCGGCACCATAGACCTTAATATGACTTTACTACTAGACAAGCACAACTGTGCACAACTATAACAACAGCACTACGAGCGGCGGTAAAACATCTCGCAGTGATGTAAGCTGTCTTGGACCACAGGTGTACATATTTACAATAATTATTGTGGAGTTGAGCTTTAGACTGAACACATAAGCGTTCCTAACCTGTCAATTCGGTATTGACAATAAATTGTATACTTATGTATACGGCACCATTCTACCGTGCTTACGGAGTCAACGAATCAACAAAAAAGTTTCCTCGATTTTTGGCAAATTTCAACTCACTACTCATTGTTTGTCTATAGTTGTAGTATAAGGACTTTGGGTGGCGCACTGTTCGCGAGTGCACGCATAACCGCGTCCTATACCGTGGTCCCGGTAATCGAAACACAAAGGCCATGCATCACGAGGGCGAC